AAGGATTTCGTGGCATGCATTTGATTCAACCTATCAACTGTGGCAGCCACTTCCACCTGTTCCGGGGGAATACAGTGAAGCCCTTGGATTTGGTTGTGCTGTTCTTAGCGGTTGCCATCTGTACCTGTTTGGTGGAAAAGATCCAATTAAGGGGTCTATGCGACGGGTAATCTTTTATAGTGCTCGAACAAATAAATGGCACAGGGCACCAGACATGCTTCGTAGACGTCATTTCTTTGGTTCTTGTGTAATCAACAATTGTCTCTATGTCGCTGGCGGAGAATGTGAAGGAATCCAGAGGACTCTCCGTTCAGCTGAAGTTTATGACCCCAATAGGAACCGCTGGAGCTTTATTGCTGATATGAGCACAGCTATGGTGCCCTTTATTGGGGTTGTTTATGATGGGAAGTGGTTTTTAAAAGGATTGGGATCTCACAGAGAAGTTTTGAGTGAATCCTATAACCCAGAGATGAATGCATGGAGCCCTGTCAATAACGGGATGGTTGCTGGTTGGCGCAATCCAAGCATCTCCATGGATGGTCGCCTTTATGCTTTGGACTGTCGTGATGGGTGTAAACTTAGAGTATATGATGAAGCCACACATTCGTGGAATAGATTTATTGACAGCAAGCTCCATCTTGGAAGTTCTCGTGCTTTAGAGGCTGCAGCTCTGGTTCCCCTCAATGGTAAACTCTGTATAATCCGTAACAACATGAGCATTAGTATCGTTGATGTGTCAAATCCTGATAAACAAGTTGAAACTAACCCACATCTTTGGGAAAACATTGCCGGTAAAGGGCACTTCAGAACTCTGTTCACTAATTTATGGTCAAGCATTGCAGGACGAGGAGGGTTGAAGAGCCATATTGTGCATTGTCAAGTGCTACAAGCTTGAGCATTGTCCATAGTATATACTCGCCCTTGATGAGAACTAAGAATTGGTTAACTTCTTCAACCTCAAGAACAAAATCTTTTCTGTTAAAGCAGTTTTGACATCCTCAACATGGTCTAGTGCCAGTTTGTGAACCAAATAGTTGCATAATCCATTTTCACTTCTTGATGACCTTCTGCAACCTCTGCAGATAACGCTCACCTCGGTAAAATATTGTATATGTCATATGGAAGTGTTTGGATTGAACATAATTCGATATTGGCCTTGGTTTCAGCATCAACAGCTCAAGCATGGATTTCCTGGTATTTTCATACTTTGCCATTTATTCATCAGCAGATGTCTGTTCAAATACAGAGCTAGCTTGCTAATGAATTTCGAAGTAGAAAAAACGAGGCTATTTCGTCGCTTCATAAAAGATTAAAGAGATCAAATAGCTCTATATTTTGTGTATCCATTTAGTCCGTTGTTTTGCACCAATGGTAGAAAAACATAGGTTGGTTACTGAAGGACATATAGGTAGAATCTCTGCTTCTTACCTTCTTCCCTTGCTTTCTTTCAAGATCTGTACAATATGTGATTGGGATAGGAGCGGCATTGAACTGCAACCTTTGGCTGCTGAAGTGGCTTATTTAGAAGTTCCTTATATTCAGCATTATGATCTTGCTGCTCCTGCTCTTTGAATATGTTGCTTATGATCAGTTAGAACATAGTGGCGATGCCTATTTCCTAAAGCTTGTGCTTTTCGACGAAGGCTTCTATGAAACAGGTAATTAATCATAGGTTCAGTGATGTGACATTTCAAGATTTTGCATAACATGTTGAGTTTATATTCTTACTTACAAAGGTTATGTGAACTCTTGAAAAAGTTACATGATGCGTTATCGCCTTAGTATTCGTGGATTTCCTTTTGCTGTAATATAGATTGGCATTTGGTCGATATGTAATTCCAAAGTTTTTGTTATTGAAGATGTGATGCTAAATGTTTTGACATTTGCAAATTGAATTGCTACTAGCTTGAAACTTTGTCAAAAGATATGTGACCCTCAACAAATGTTCTCATCCTGCTTGTAAAGAATGATCCTTTGGTATAAAGATATTCTATCCTTAAGCAAAATTCATTGTTCTTTGAGCTAAGGGTCTATCGGAAATAGCCTTTCTACCTTTATAAGGTAGGGGTAAGGTCTGCGTACATACTACCCTCACCAGATTCCACTGGTTTTACTTTTTTTTTTTTGTTGTTTTTGTTGTTGTCGTCTTCAAGCTAAAACCTCTTTACACAAATAAGAGTCTTCTCGTCTCGTCTTTGATTAGTAAAAAAAAGGTAGTCCAATACACAAAGCATCTCGTATTCATGCAGGGTCCGGGTAAAGCCCGCGCCTCTAGGGGTATGATGTAGACAGCCTGCGTAATGCAAGCATTAATAGTTGCTTCCATGGCACACAAGTTGACCACTATCTATATATTTAGCAACTTTATTTCCTCATCAGAAACATGACAGAACAGATATGCTATGTATTCACTTGAGAATATTACAATTCCAAGTACACAAGAAAGAACTAAACAAAAGAATTAACTTTAGGTCCCCCTGCTAAGCATTTCTTGAAAACGTTTAAATGATTCTTCTCTTTCAAACTTAAGTTGCTTCCTGAAATTCTTGATAAAATCATGAGCAGATTTGTTCACATCCTCCATCAAGAACCTTTTCGTCGACGCGATTCTCTCTCTTCTTTCACCATCTTTGTCCAACCCCTTCATATTTGAAGAACTCTTTTGGTGTTGATCCATTTTGAAGCTTAATCTATAAACTTCTTTTAGTGTTCTTCGCGCTTTTTCGAAGGTTGAAGAGTTAGTTAAATGATGATGGATTGTTAGCTTGTGAAGTTTGCTATTTATATAGTTGTAAATTGTGAGTTTAAGATGTTGTTCTTAGCTTCGAAGCATGAGTTTTTCATGGGAAAAAAGCAAAGGAAAGGAGAAGGAAAGAAAGAGTGAAGATCTATGTTTGTTCATGAGTGGAAGGCATTCTTATTGATTATTGAAGCCAAAAAGGAAAAGGCAAAGCACTTGTTTATTTTATTGTTAGTTTTTGTGTTTCTATATGGTTTAGCATTTCAATGGAAGTTGCAGGCTTAGATTTGTTTATTTGCAGTGCAAGAAACTGACGTAAATCTAAAAATATATTATTGCTCTCTTTTGTGGGGTTATCACTTGGTTTTTTGAGTCTTTTGACTCAACTTTTGTACTTATTTTGACTTCCAAGGGACGAAGGACAGCTCGGTGCACTAAGCTCTCTCTATGACCACAAAGGTCTATTGTACACGGTCTTATCCTGCATTTCTGCAAGAAGCTATTTCCACGGCTTGAACTCGTGACCTCCTGCTCCTGGTCACATGGTAACAGATTTACCAGTTACGCTAAAGCTCCCCTTCTTCCGAGAGACGAAGGGTTTGTCCAAAAAGTCCTACTAAGGGATATTCACTACTACTGTTAAATCGTTAAAGATAGGAAAGCAATAATTCTAAGTGATCCATTCTGGCTAAGAAATAATCAAACAGAGAATCATTAAGAAGTTTTGGTCAAGAAAAAAGAAAATTTTCTTTTAATTTAGAATTAATGATTTAAATTCAAATCCATCTATTAGTGTTGAGATAATAGTGAAACTTGTCGTTAAGTAATTGGTTATTAAGATTAGGTCTTCATATAATATCACCACACAAGAAACTTACACATGTAACTTATGAAAAAAAATGACATGTGTCTGTTAGATAAACTTTTAATATTACTTAGTCACGGTTAGTTATATATTCTCGCCTCAATTTAAAAAATTATGAAATACGTTCAATACATCTGATTTTCTTAAAAAATGTCATAGAGAATATTATTAGTAGTTGCACAATCTCAAAAACGTTATTTCAATTGTTTGAAAATAGAACTTTAGTCCCTATCATTCTGTTTTTCGTAGAACTTTAAGGCAACAAAAAAGCATTTTGTTTTTGCAATTATTTTCAATCAACTTTGTCTCATTTTTTGCCGAGGCTGGGTCTGGGCCGGCCCGTGTGCCAAAAATTAATTAAATTTAAATTTAAATATTTAAAAAAGTAAAAACTAAAAAAATATTAATTATAACCCCCATTTTCCAACCTTAGATTGCTCATTTACCCTTCCATATCAACTATAATTTATATTTTTGATATGCATGTAGTATGACAAGGTTAGTTTTTCTTTTGCGTAATTAACAACGAACTAGGAAAGTTATAAGTGGCCAATATTTTTTTTTCAAAAGAAAATATTACTTTAACTAGCCAATGATCAGTTTGGTTACTTTAATATATTATTAATTATTAAATTGCTCCTCAGCATAGAAAAAGGTCAAGTTTTAATGCCCCAAAAAAAATTGACAACACTAGTAAATTTCATGAATTTTAAAAATTTATTGACTATAATGATGAAATCAACAAATAATGTTAAATCTAAATTAAAAAACCTTAAGGTATAAATTTATTGAAGCAATTCCTGAATCAAAGGAAAGTGAAAGAAAAGTATTAAAAAAATATTTATGTAACATTAACAAAAGAAGAGCTAGAGATATAGAGAATTTACATTTCAATTACAAGATTTCTTGTCAAATATCAAGATTCTTGTACACTCTAAATAAACAGAAGTCATTCATATAATTAAGAGATTATGTCACGAAAAACTATCAAAAGATTTAGTGAAATATTTTTTTTCTAAAAATATTGAAGGGTCGACCCGCCATAGCCCGAGGCCCTCTTAGGCTAAGGCTGGGCTGGCCATTTTAAGGCCCATATAGATGGAGGGTTGGCCCGACCAGCCCACGAGGTTTGGGCTGGGTTGGACTGGGCTAGCTCGTTTTGACAACTCTAGATTTTAAGCTAAATTGTTTTCAAATTTAGAAGGGTCATTCTTTTTAGAACGGACAAAAAAGGAAATAGGTTCGAGACGTAGGTAGCAGTTCTTATTAGTCCTACCAAATCATGTTAGCAGAAGATGGCATTACAGACTTTTGAGTAAACCAAATAAACTACTAGCTCTTCATGGCAATTGGAACTCTGTATCATCCAAATTTCTTTGCAAAATGCAATTCATCTTCCACACTGAACTTTTGAAATTTTATATTCAAAATTCAATTTTGTCGAAAGTTGGGGTACTTTCCACACGTATATTACGTTTCGTGTTGAAAATATTGGGTTCAGTTAAACTCAGCGAAACATACTATATATCCGTATCCGCATCTGCTGGGAAACATATAGGGGGGAGGGG